ATCATTTCCAAAGTCGGACCGTGGACGTGATACATTCCCAGACGTTTCGCCGGCATCGTCAGTGAGTATCGCCACTCTTAGCATCATAGAACGATCGGTCAGAAACAAGTAAGCCAATCCTTTGACCAAACGTGTCCAACTAGATCGCCATGATAACATGAGTAAGTTGTCAACACCAAGTCAGAACACCCGCATAAAGAGAAAGCAGACTGCGGACATCTCGGCTTACCTGACCCGGATTGAAATTGCAATGTTGTGACGACTAAGGCAGCCTAGCAACAAGTCACTCTGAGAGCAGTACTTTGTCTCTTCTTTTCTGGTCTCAACCTCTTTAGGACGTCAAAAAACATAATTTTTTCACACATCAAAGGATTAAGTTTCATCCCGCAGCTACTTAAATAGGCTATAAATAGTCTATTATTCCATGTTTCGTTCCATTTTCCAAAATGACTCTTCAGGCACTGATGAGTGCACTACGATGCCCATTTTTTATCAGCAGCTGATCTTGTTTGTTTGTTTGTGTGTGTGTGTGTGTGTGCATAGAGTGCTCACATGCAATTCTTCTTTAGCCACAGACTATGGAATTACCTTTGATGCCATAATCGCAAATCTGCCAAATAGGACCGCTACAAATTGTGTTTATGCTTCATGTCAATGTTGAAGGGATCCCATTGTAGGTTTCGCTATAAAAACCCTTTTTGTTTGCCGGACTCATACGTGTCATCTGGCCCTCTGGGAACGGGGACTCCGTCATTTTGCGTGGTTCCCGTCTGAAATCCGAGGTTCGGATGAACCTCGCGAGAAGCCAGACAGGCTCTCTGTATCATCTGCCTTAGTCAGAAAGTCCATAATTGACGACTCGAAGAGAGGGTTGAGCGAAGAGGCCAACGGCCCGGGCGGGACTCGCACCCGGAACCCGATTTGGATAAATGGAAAGTAGAGACGTCGGACGATTTGGCATTGCCCGAGCTCGGCTGTCTCGTCATTTCGTCTCTGGCCGGAGTTGTGGGCAAAAAGACAACAAAAAGTCGCCTCTTCGATTGGCCAGATCATTGAAGGATGATGGCTTGGGCCTGGCAGAAAGGGGGCAACTTAAGCACAAACAGCAACATTTTGACGTTTTCACAAGTACCGTCTGCCCTATTCTCCCATTCAGCAGGATTACATTGCAAAATTGCAATTATGCTATATTACATTGATGGCTGTGGAGCATAAAGCTGGACCATTTGTTGCTATGGCTAGGTTATGTCACGTAAAGAAGATGGTCGTCCATTAGAATGACGCTAAAATGTGAAGACCTTTTCTAAAATCGGTTTGTGTTATGCAGAGGGAATCGGAGGCATACGAGGGGAATTTACTGCCTTCACGGCCTTCCAGGGTTACTCAAATAAGAGGTTGTTTCAAGTTTGGCTTTTCGTTAAAACGGTAATGAGATTCGGTACAGAATTTGTAATTTATAACTATTGGTGGATAAGCAAATAATGCCAGATAAGTATGCACAAGTAAGTTTTGTTGTGATATTCAGTCCTGCCAACATTCTGATCACTCTCGAGGGGGCGGATCTAAGGGTACTTTCAGTTTAAAACTACTTATCCTTCAATGAGTAGTACTTATTTCACCTCCTGTAGGGGAAATGCATCTTGCTCTCATTTTAGCGAGTAATGACTCGATGAAATCTGAGGAAATTAGTTAGTTCTTCACTTTGTACTTAATTAATTAATTGCTGATTATTTCGCTATTCGATAGCAATTCCAATTGTGCTTAGCCCAGCGAGAATGGTAATAATTACCATTTTCAGATGTTTAGGTAGGCAGGGAAGCAGCAAATCTGGCCAAAAATGTTGGTTGAAATACAGCAAATGTCTGTTTACTTTACATTTTTCCTCCAGCCATGACCATAAACAAATGTTGCTAGTGTAAAAATAGTGATTATTAAAAGTATGCTGTTTGCTGGTTGGTACCAGTGCGGTTGGAATTTAGATTGGCTTAAAGGATTATTGATGCATAAAAAATGATGTCTAAACCCAAGAGTGAGATTATTTGTTAGAAAATGGGGAGTCTGGTAACTTTCTCACGTTTCTGACTTTGCCATCAAGCCTCGTTGCCAAAAAAGACGGGTGGACTCTCCAGAAATTGGGTATAAATGTGTTTTTAAGATAACTTAACTAATTCCTTCGGGCTTCATTACTTCTTGTCGTGATCAATCGGATACAAACTGTGAAGATGAGGCAAAATCGCCTCAGACACTTGGTTTTTTAATTAGCGCATGTCTGCTGGCAAGCAGCAAATGAGTGCTGCCATTGAAATCAACAAATACAAGAAATACAGATAAAATGTAAGCAATATCTGCTCGCATCTGTTTAAGAAACTAATAAGCAAGAGAGGATAATGAGCCACCTAAAGAAAGGTGCAACTCAATTTTCCGACTGTACTTCTCTCTTTAGTCATCATTTGCACGTATCTGATATTACTTAAAAAGTCCGTCGTGTGTTTGGTACTATGCAATTTTGCTAAAAGACCACCTTTAGTCCTGATAGCCTGGGACAAATGCTACTTAAAAGAAATAATGGAGTTTCTTACCTGTACCCACTTGGTTACACATACATATTTATTTATTTATAAAAAACAAATCGGATTTTTTACTTGATAATTTTGAAACCAGATTGCATAATTTTTCACTGTTATCCAAGTCAGATAACGTAAGTTCTCTAAACAAAATCGAAAACTGTTTTTCTTTATTTTTCCAAGATATGGCCAATTTCTTTTTTCCTGTTAGAATTACGCTTTAAAGACTACCTTTCGATCTAACATCACAGTTACATCCACCCTGTTTGGTTTAAAGTGATGAAGAACTGGTAATTGAATCTTTCTCCTTTTCAATTAATGGTCCTCATGTTTTCGTTTGTCTCACAAATAAGTCAGACACAGCTTCGGTACACGTTTAGGATCTTTGTCCAGCTGCTTCCATGCCCCCATTAGGCTAAAGGTAGGACATGCTTCGACTGAGTAGAGGGACACTTCACTTTGGTCAATGTGCAGTTGATCCTGTACAAATACCCACAATCGCCATATTTGAACACTTTCCCCACCACCATGTGTAGACTTTAGGCCAGGCTGAATGGAAGCGGGGATTAATGCAAAATGTTGTCTTCGAAACCCAGTTTCTTTTCACCTCTCAAAATGCGATCATGTCGAATAGTGAATGATTGACTCTCAGTAAATACAAACATTTGTCGACTTTATTAGTGAAATTGCGTATTACATTTTGATGAAACGATATGCAATATTATATTAAAATTATCAAAAAAGTAATAATTTATATTCTTTTTTTATAAATGATCAAGAAAACATAGAATATACATACACGAATAAAAGTTGGGTTTCTAGGAATCTCTTGTTTTATAATTGTTGAGCTTACTTCCATTTCGAGTAGAAGTGTTTGGTGAAGAAATTCGAAGCTCGGTTCCACCAGAAGACGACGGCGGATTCCTCTTGACTGGAACATTCATGCTGACACTGTTTCCGAGGCAATCTCCTTCGTCCGTCATGTGACGAACATCATCAAAGCAAGTTATCATCATCACAACCAAATTTATCGTCTCTACTTCCTATTTCAGACAAATGGATGCAGATCAACTGGAATTAGTCATCGTAGCTTAGTATGCTCTTCTATTCCTTCTTAAAAAGTACGCCTACACACAAACAGGCACATACACATACAGAGACAGACACACTCACATGCATAGAAGTTGACATATGACCTTAA